CCCCAGGAAAGGGGGAGGTTCCCTGCCCCACCCAAGGGAGGGTGGAGCTGAGCAGGAAGAGGAGAAGCAGCAGAAGAGACTGAGGAAGGAAGCAGGATGGAGCCAGGAGACCTGGAGGAGGCCCATGGAGCCTAGAGACACGTGAAGAAACTGCGCTTGTCTTTTGGTCGTGGACTGGGTGACACAGATGTGGGTGAGACCCGTGGGGAGGGGACAATGGCAGCTTTTATCTTGATGTTGATTTTGCTCTTTTCCTTACGGGCTTGTCTGGTTGTTTGTGACCCTTTTCTGTGGGTCCCACTGGAAGATGCTTTAGACTTGTGGCAGGCTTTGGGGCTTTGCTCTGGGCCAATCCCATATGGATGGACTTTTACCCACGAGGGGATGGGTAACTTTGGGTGCTTCATTTAGAAACTAGACTCTTTGCCTTACCTGTATTGTTTCCTAGTTTTATTAAAGTTCCTTCCCATTAAAGTCTCCTATGTTTTGTGTTGATGCGGCGGATGGCAGAACCCATGTAGAATAGGCAGGTTTGCGGTTTTTGGGCTACCCCTCTCCCTGTCCTATAACACTCACTGCTCATTCCCAGGGCACCACGTATGTCTTCCCAAGAACTTTCCCATATTCAAGGTCATGGCCACTCAGGAAAGTAACTGAAGTAGCTGAGACATTAGCTCAGCGAAGAACTACTTAGCTGCTGAATCAGGAGGCAACTTACAGCAGAGTGAGGTGCATGTGTTTGGGAGCTACAGCGCCCTGGGTTCAAATTTAACTCCATTCACTGACCATGAGCATGCACCCATCTGTGCCAGGGAGCCATCAGTTCCTCCAGAGGCTGCAGTGGGTCTAGCAGGGCAGTGTGGGCACCATGCCCGACCCAGAGTAGGTGTTTAGTGAACAGCGGCCTGCTAGCTCAGTTTCCTTTCCAACACAGACTGCTTTCTGAGATAGAAATAGATAGGTGGTATGTAGGTAGGTAGCTAGATAATAGAGATGAGATACATACATACAAGGGCTGCCGTCTTCATTTTACCTAACAGTCACTGCTGTTTAAACCAGAGACACCTCTTTAAGCCAGAGACACACTTTAAGTTAGGGTTTATTTTTAAGACATTTCATTCATACTCCATGTCTCAGGAGTCAACCCTTTAAGAATTAATGCCTCCCGGTGCATGCAAGCCACTGCTCTTTACAAACAAGCAAACCTCGGCAAGCCAGCTGCTCCCATTCTGCAGAGGGAAAACTGAGGTCTCAAAGGACAAACAGCTAAGGGGCCCTGGGCCCAGCCAGAGCATGAGCAGTGTCAGCACCAGCCCTGCGCTCTGCCCCCAGTGCTGTAAGAGTCAGGGTCCCAGGCTCCTGTCATCTCTGCCACTTCCCCATGCTCTGCCCCACCCCAATGCTCCTCTGGAGGTTTTCGAAAGCTGAGAACCAATCAGGCAGGCTGGGGGTGGGGGGTGGAGGGGGCCGGTTTCCGGGGGCCTGTGGTTACTCCACTCCACTTCCTTGTGATGACATAAGCCCTCTCTCTGCATCAGGAGGCCACCAAGCTCCTCAGGTCTCCACATGAGGTTACTTCTGGGGCTCAGTGTCCCTGTCTCTAAGCTCGACAGCATCAGGCACACGTGGCAAGGATGGCACTGCTGACCCTGGGCTCTATCAGTCCAGAGGGTGGGACTCTGGAGGCACCCCTGATCATTACCCTCACTCAGTTTCTTCTGTCTCCTTAGTCTCTCTGTTCCAAGCCACCAATTCTCTTGATTCAAAATTCAGAAGATACTGATCAAGAAGAATTCAGAGTAGCCTGGAAGGAGGGAAACACCTGCAGCTAGAGAACCCAAGTGGGAGCAGGCAGGGGTGCAACGGAACATGATCCTTTGGGTCCCTGGCAGGTATACCCCCGTAGTGTCCACAGAGGAATGTGGGACTAGCCGAGCACCTCCCCTCCCCAGCAGACTGAAGGACAGAAGCTTAAGGAGGCCCAGCAGAGATAATGGGGGGAGGGGATTAGGCCACTCCAAGGGCTCATCTCAAAATAGGGACTCAGCTGGGGCCTGAAAGGGTCTTAAATAAACGGACCATGTGACTTGACTTCCCCAATTTCAACTTTGCCAGCTTACGTTTATTAGCAGCCCCCCTTCCCTCTCCTTGCATTAATCAGGCCTGTTTTTTCTGAAGCAGGTCACAGCTCAGCCTCGCCTCTCTCCAGCAATCCCCCCAGGTAGAGGCTGCCTCTAGGCCAGCTCCAGGCCCAGGGAGCTGAGCATCCTGATGGCAGGGCATTATGGATAAAGGACTCACAGGGCAGGCTAGAAAGCCAGCCTGGGATCTCCTCGAACAAAGGCAACTAACCTGGATTCAGGGACAGATACACCGGACTCCAGGGAGGCCTAGGATCTGCTCATACCTTGACCTTCTCCCTTATCCCATAGCCCCTGGCCCTGAGGCTTCCTCCTCTGACACTCCTGAGCACTGGCTTTCCCCACAGAGCTCTGCAGATGGCAGCTAGGCTTCTTAGCTAGTGTCGCAGTTATTTCCCTCTCTCACTCTCTCTTTTACACACACACACACCCACATGCACGCATGAACACACACACGCACGCATGTGACCCAGTCTGTCTCATTCCTGGCTTTCTTGTCCCAACTCAGGTTTTGCCACAAGTTATTCTAATAGGAACTTAGAAAGCACTTCAGTTAGATACCAGAAAGGACTTCCAGAAAGTCAGAAAATACAGCTGAACCTGGCCGGAGACGTGGTAACTGACACTGGGCTAGGCGCCTAGCCATCCCAAATCCTCGGCCCTTTCCCACAATGCTCTGTTCTACTCCAGCCCACCACCCAATTCTTTAGGTGGGATGAGTGATTTCTAGGGGTACCGTTGGGGAGGGGGGGAGGAGGAGATCCCAGAGCATGAAGAACTCTCCCCTACAGTCAGTGGCACCATCTGTTCCCATCCTAGTCCCAGTCTTGGGCCAGTCCTATGCCCAGCACTCTGATTAGGAGCTGGGTTCTGTCCAGGCATTGTCTGCCTTCCACGGCCGGCTGCCCATTGAGGTCTGGCGTGTGCCGGGCTGGGCGCTCACGCTGCGGTGGGGGGCGGGGGTGGGGTGGGGAGGGAGAGCCAGGAGATCCTGGAAGCTCAGCTATTCTAAGGTTCAGATCTCCCACTCCTCACCTAGATCAGCAACTCCCAAGAGAGGAGTGGGGGGAGCCGGGTCCCCCTAGGGCAATGTGAGTGGAAGCAGAGATGATGTCTTGTCATCCCAAAGAGCTGGGTGCAGTGGGCAGTCACAATGGCCCCTCTATGCAAGGGAAGCTTCTGATGGTGGTGGCAGGGAACACCAGCTTTCCCCCACTCCTCTATACAACGTGCCAGTCCACGGGGCTTTCCCACACCTCAGCATGCCCCAGCCCAGCTTGGGGAGCCCGGGAGTGGGGGGCTTTGTTTGGCTTTTCCCAGCAAGATGGAGGCCAAAGGAAGGCCCTCATGGGAGGGGAACCCCAAGCCTCCCCTCCCAGCCCAGGTTCACAGTGGGTGGGGGCCAGGGCTTCATTTCCCTTTTATGATGCATTCAGACTCCCTCAGTCTGCTGCAGATGTCATATTTACATTTCACACTCCCACCCCCACCCCGGTACCTCCCTCTCCCAACCTCCTCTGGATCCTACTGCAGTGTCAGCCCCAGCAGCAGCCTGGCCCCGCCCCAGCCAGCCCACCAGGCACCTGCAGGGCTCCTCTTTGTCTCTCAAGGCTGTTCCGGGCCAGCAAGGCTGTGTTTTATGATGCTGAGTGCAGCCTGGGGGCCATGGGTGCGAGGAACAGCGATCTCTCTCCCTTGACCCCAAAGCTGTGTCCACTCCTCCTCCCCAGCCCGCAGAGGGCTGGTCAGGTGGCCCTGGAGAAGCTGGTCCATAGTCATCTTTGACCTTATCTAGAGTGACTTTTCGGGACTCCTGGAATTTGGGTCATCCGTGACCAGGGGTCTAAAGACCTGACTCAGTCAGGGACCTTACCCTGGACCTATACCTGCTAATCTCCCCGCCCCCAAATCACACAGCGCGGAGTCAGAGATGGATGCTCCTGATAGTGACCTCAGTCCCAGATGTTCCCACTAACAGACCCAACAGGCCCTCTCAAAGAGAACACCCAAAACCAACACAGGGAGAGGTGGTGTCACGGGTCTCTACCCACAACAAAGGACCCAACTTCGCAGTGTTTCCTGCCCCGCACCTGAGTACCCCACCCAACAGAACCCCCATCCAAGTCCTCCCCCACCTCAGTTCTGTCAGGATATCATGTCAAGTCCCAGGTAAGTACCACGCAGCCCTCCCTTGCCCAGTTCCATCTGAGTGACAAGGGTGGCCCCCAGGTCACACCCTTCCAGCTCACCGGGAGAACCTCCCTACACCTCCCCCTCTCCCCGAGCCTCATCTCCTTTCCGGACAGAGCCCGCAGGGTTTTCTCGAAAAGCCGAAGCCTCTGACTCCCCAGGGAAGGCCAAGCTACCATCCCAGTTCTTTCTGCGCTGATCATTGTCTGCAGAAGCGGCCCCTGGAGCGGGTGGGCTGCCTTCCTAGCCCTCGGAACCACGAGCTCGGGACAGTCTGAGGGGCGTAGATGAGGGAATTACCCGCCCTCCAACACACACACACTTGCCCTTTTGAGACAGTAGCCCCACGGAGAGGCAAGAGGAAACGCACAGACGCTGTAGCCTGGGCCAGGGCTGGGTGTGAAATACCGGATTTCCTTGTTTATTCGATTTTCTGATCATTAAGGGCTCCCAAGAGGGACCCGAAATTACCACCCAAACAAAGCCCCCTTCCAGTAGCCCTCCGGGCGCCGCTCCCCGCGGCCGCGGGGCCATCGCGCAGCGCCCTCCAGCCAGCCCACGCCGGGCCCTTCTCGCGGGGTGCGGGCTCGAGCGCCCCCGGCCCCGCGCCACGCGAGACAAAGCCCGACCCCTCCGAGCGCACCCCCACCCGCGGCCGCCGGTCCCTACCTGACGGCCACCTTGACGCAGCAGTCCCCCTGGCCGGCCATGGTCCTCGGGCGCTCGGTCTGGGCGTGGATCAGGGGCGGGGGTCTGGGGGCCACTGTCCCGGGCAGCGGCTGCGGCTGCGGGAGGCGGGGACGCGGGCGCTGCTGGCGGAGGCTGCCAGGGCGACCGTAGGTGACATACTCGCGGGCGGCAGGCAGAGGGGCTCACGCGCGGTCGGGGGAGGCCCCCCGGGGCTGGGCCCGCGCACCTCCTCGCGCCATCGGGCGGCGGCGCGGAGCTCTCTGACAGCACGCGGCGGGACCCGCCACTCCCCACCGCGCGGCACACGCGCGCACACACCTCCCACCCTCGCCGCCACCTCCCGCCGCTGCACGAACAAAGGGGGCGGGGGCCGGCCCGGCCCAGGGCCCGCCCCCGAGCCCCGCTGAGCCGCGCCGGACCCCGCCCCCCCGGAATCGCCCAATCGAAGGCCAAAGCCCGCAGCAGGGGCGGGACTTGAGCCTTTAAAGGGACCTCTTGGCTCGCGTCCACCCGCTGGCTGGGGCACTGTCGGGATGGGGGGAGTGGGCGGAGGAGGGTCGCGGACCCACGAGCTGACCGTGCCGGAGCCTCGGCCCCCAGAGCCGCAGAGCCTCGGCGTCGATGGGACCCCTTTTCAAAAATGAGGGAGCTGGGACGGGAAGAGGGGAACTACCCAAGGTCACCCGGGGAGCGGGTGGCTACCGTGGGTGAGAACCTAGGTCTCACTTCATAGCATCGCACAGCCACGAGCGCTTTGCATTTTGAAAGCCTGGAAAACGTCCCTTCTGCGTTTATTCCAGTGATCTGCCAACCTTTATTGAGGGAGGTTGGTTTTTTTTTTAAAGATTGATTTATGCAGACAACAGCTGGGGTACCGTCCAGGGGCGCTGGGGTGAGAGGATTCACTAGAGACAGAGTGGGGAACAGAACGGGCAGATCTACCGAAATACATTGCTCAGCGGGCAAGACAGGAGAGGTCTGCCTGGCCAATCGAGCTGGTGCTGCAGAGGCCCGGGATAGCTTCATAGGTTGCGTCTTAACCCTTGTGCCACCAGGGAGGCCCCAATTGAGGGAGATTTTACTAGAACTACAGATCCCTCCACCTCCAACCTGCCGCATTGTAAAACCATCTTTTGGTTGGTTCCTCGCTCCAGTCCTTTCAGACTCGCCCCTCCCTTCTGCTAGACCACTGTGGCCCCACTGACCTTTATGACCCAACGAAGACCCTCTGCTAGGCCTGGCTCTTACTTTGCTTGTTGTGGACTTGGGGGCAGAGGGTCAGTGTGGGTGGCCTGAGCTGTCCCAAGAGGAGGGAACAAAGGGGGCACTGGTCTTAGCCCCTGGGTAGAGGCTGGGGATGAGTTGGGTGGACAGGGGAGAGGAGTGCAGCAGATTTATCTGGATGTAAAGGACCAGGGGAGCCCTGGAGACTTTAAACACAGGGTAGTGATGGGGGAGACTGACTGGAAAGTCACCAATCCCTTCCTAGTCAATCTCCCCTCCTCTGAACCCAGATGCCTACTCCTTACCCCTCCAATCCCCATCATTGGTGTCCTTTGCAGGCCCCTCACCAGATGCTGTCCCCTCCCTCACTTCCACCAGCTCCCTTCCCTGGAAAGAGCCCCAGATGTGGATAACACTCTCTGGGGGAAGGGAGGAAGGGGAGTCTGACTCCAATCCTCTTGCATCACCCTCAGATGATGAAACCATGTCAGAGATTTTGGCAAGGGTATGGGATAGGGCCTGGGGATGCATCTGCTGATGCCATCTTCCACCCTTTCCTCCCCCACTCCACACTTAACAGCCCTGTCCAGTTGTCCAGCTGCCCAGATCCCTATCTGTTAAGATCGAACCAAAAACAAAGATAATTTCAAGGGCACATCAACACCTCCCTCCTCCCCATCCTAATTGAAAACTGGAGCACCACCAGCAGTGCCCCAAGGGTAGGGTTGTGGAAGGAGGAGGTCCTGGTGGAATCCCACACCTTTTACTAGCATGTGAACCATGAGGATGCTCTCTGGGGCCAGTGGGGACCCTCCCAGAGCAGAAGGTCATAAGAGTGTTGACTTAGATCACCGACATTCTCTCCCCAGAGGGAGGAAACTCACATTTACGGACCATCTGCATGAACAAGGTACTTTATTTGCCTGTTCTCCTTCATTCTCATAACCTGCTGAGTTAAGCTTCTTGATATTGCTTTAGTTTTTCACATGGGGAAGCTGAGTTTCACTCTGCATGTAAGCATATAAGCCACAGACACAGGATTGGAAGAGTCTGGTCCCAGGTTCCCCAGGTCACTTCCAAGCCACTGCCCAGGAGGGAGCTGGACTGGCCCAGCCCGCCCAGATATAATGCTTTCCGCAAAGTTGCTTTCCCGCCACCACACTGAACTTCTCTGGGTCCCCCGACTCTCAGATCCCCTCTGACTTCTGAGAATATGTAACCGGCCTGACTTCCTGCTGGGAAGTGGTACCAGAGCGCTACCTGCCCCCTGTGCCAGGGTGTCAAGCCAGGAGGAGCAGGGAGACCCTTGGGCTGGTCCCCTACGCCAGCACCTCAGCAACTCCCTCCTGGGCCAGAGAGCAGCAGAACAGTGAGGTGTCTGAACCCTGACTCCTGGTGGTGCTGCCCAGTGGTGAGGGAGTACGACACAGAGGTCAGATGAGGGTCCAGAGGGGAGGAAAGAGGCCGCAACCACAGTATGGGAAGATTTGGGTTACTGGGTCAGAGGAAGCCTAGGACAGCCCTGCCCTTGCTGTAGTCTCTGTCCAGCTCCCACACACCCACTGCTTCCTCTCTCTGGAGTGTTCCCACTCCTTCTGCCTTCTCCCAGCTGCTCTTTTTTTCTTCCCTCTTTCCCAAACCCTGAATTTCTCCTGATGCACTGCCTCTATGCCTATCTCCCCCATAATCAAACCTTTCCTCTTTGCCTGATAGAAAATGCACACCGCCCCCACCCAATGTGCATGCACACACACAGACACACACACACTACCCCATTCAGCCCTGACCCCCCTCATGGACGCTTGAGCCCAGCTCTTGTCCTGATTAAGGCCCTCCCTCCCACCCCAGGCATCTTGGGTCCTCCATCATCTCCCCGACAGGCGCTGTGGGCGTCTGGGCAGATGGGAGCCTGGGGGAGTGGTGGGGGGCTCCTCTCCAAGGCAGGAAGCTCCCACACTACTGTAGTTAAAATACTCCAGCAGCAACTTGGGATAGCCATCTGGCCAGGCTGTCTCAGACACACCCCAGTTCACAGTAGCAGCCCTGAGAAAGAAAACCCCCAAGTGGTGCCTGTATGACCTGAGCTGGAATCCTTTCCACTTTTATCCCTTTTAGGGTGAGCACTGGGCATTGGCATTTGCCAAAGCTGTCTGACAGTGACGGAAAACTCTGGGGGGTGGGAGGTACAGAGTCCTGGACCTCAGTCTTAACCCCCAGCCTCAGCCCAAAAGCTGTGCTGGGTTCCTTGGGAGAAGGTGAGCCAGCCACTGCCTTCAATGCCTGCCTGGAGACAGAGCCCAGGTCTCCTGCCAGCAGGAGCTCAGACGCCCAGAGAGGGTCCCTTGGGATACAGACTCGGAGATCTTAGCTCAGATGCCGGCTCAGCCTGACTTCCTCTGTTACAGGAGAAGACAGACTTAGTTACAGAATTTGTTAAAAATAGCAAGGAAGAAAGAGAACTGCTATGGATTATAAACACCCCATCAGTCCTCAAAAAAATAAAAGCCAGTAAACTATTCTTGGTTTCCAATGTTAGTGAGGGTTTAATTAATACTCCATATACCTTCAAACATGGAATCTTGATCTACCCTTCTACTGTGCAATACCTTCTATACAGCATTAGGTCCAAAGGCAGGACAGGTGTGGGCAGTTCTCAATGCCACAGAATCTGAGAGCTGGAAAGACCCCCCCCCCAAGATCATCTAGTCTAATGGCTAGATAAGGTGAAGACACAGAGGCCAGAGCAGTAGAGGCTTGTCCAGAGTTGCCGGTAAGCTCGGGGCTGAGCAGGGGTTAAAAGCTCAGTCCCTGTTATTCCCTGGAGTGGAGCAGCTCCCACAACTGCACATAGAACCCGAAGACTACACATCTGAGTTGGGGCTAAAGGCAAACATATGATTCAGATTATAGTCAAGTCTATACAGAATAACAAAAGATAAATCAGAGGCCAAATATGGGACCTAGGTTCAAATCCCAGCTCTGTCACTTGCTTGCTATGTGACTCTGGGCAAGCATTCCAACTGCTAGGGAGAGAAAGTCTTGGGGATGAGTGTGAATGAGGTGCAGGGCAGTTGGAGGTGAAGTTTGCCTGGCCTGAGTGTTGCACGGAGGTGAGGGGGAGCCAGTTGGGTGGGGCCTTGGGAGCCAGGGTGTTTGTGGGGGCAGGAAGGAGCCTGCTGGGTGCCTCTTGTACACAAGCCTCCTGGCCCTAGCCTCGGTCCCTGTGGGCTGTGCGGAGAGGGTGCTGGCTTGCACTTTACACACCCATGGGCTACACTATGCCAATGGCGTCATGCACGTTTTCTCATTTAACCCTCACAACAACCTGTGAGGTAAATACATTTATTGTCCCCACTTTGCAGAAAAGGATATAGGCTCAGAGGTCACTTAGCTAGGAGAGTGGTCATTAGTGCTGCTCAGCAGATATTTCCGCCTCTGCCCCTGGCATTAGATCCGACTGCATGTCCTCATGTGGATGCAACAGTGGCCACGTGACTTCCTTTGACCAATGACTTTCGTCAGCTGTGGCCACGTGACTTCCTTTGACCAATGAAATGTGGGCGCAACTGACCTTTACAAAGCTTTATGAGCCACTGACACCCTTACACAGATGGAGAAAAACACTCTGAGCCAGTGACTCCACTGCCTGATGCCCTGGGGGGTTGATTTGTGTGTGTGTGTGTGAGGGGGGGCAGATAGGGGCATTGTGGAGCCACCATGGGACTTTCAGTGAGGGAACTCTGGTCAGCCTGGTTCCTTTTGCTCTTCACTATGTCTGTGGCTCCCACCCCTGTGCTCCAGTCCTTCCTCCTCCTTTTGTCTATCAAGTGTATGGCTCTAGCTTCAACAAAAGGCGAGGTTCTGTTTCTACATGGCAGCTTCCACT